GGCTGGGGACATTAAAATTGAGAATGAAAAAGCCAAAGGTTCCAATGTATTCGAATGCACGATATAAGCCCAACCCCTTTGCCAGCATTTCGAAATTTACCAGTGTTCAGTGGCCTTTGTACAGAGTAAATTTTTTCCCAAAACGGATTAGATTAAACCTCCTTCGATACAACAAGCATCCGATCTGATAGCTATACTAAATGATTTAAGCCAAACATATCATCCCAGACAAGACAATTATGTTAGGTTTCATTTTTTCATCAGCAAACACAAGTTGTCAATGCAGAAACAAAAGCAAAGACACTACAGCTACAGGGGAACATGTCCGAATGAACAAAATAGAAACTTACGAAGCCTATTCAATAAAACATTGCACCTATACTACTAAACCCCTATGGAATATGGTCATGAAAACAAGTTCCAGTAGCACAACATGTATATCTAAACTATTTGTGAAGAATAAGAAAAGACGTGTATTGATGACAAGATAATTTGATGAATAAACATATTTATAGGTCTCAAACAAAATACAATTCGTTCAATATAGGACGTCGCTAAATTAGAACTTAACACTTATGAACATTTTCAACATGCCTCCAACAAAACCAAAGCCAAGCTTCAGGTGCTGAGGCAACCGACAGAGCAGAATTGGCGCCTCACCAGACTTCAGTTGAGGTGCTGCATAAAAGCGATTAACAAGCGCACACCTGGGTTAAGGCACAAGGCCTTTAGCATGCGCATCTTTCAAGCCAAAAAAGGGGGGTTGGAGGGGGAGGGGTATTAGGATCCAGGAAAGAAAAAGGAAATCTTCTGAAGGAGCAAAAGAGACATACTCAATGAGAACTGAGAAGACAATAGAGAACAAACAACTTGAGAAGATCATCAACGATCTCAGTCTGAAGAAGTGCAGGAAAGAGAGATCTTCACAGAATTCTTCTTTCTTCTAATTCCTTTCTTTATTTTTTTCTTTTGGCAAACATTAGACTGCCTGCATTTTTTTTTCCCCTCATATTTCTTTTCTTTTCTCTTTTGGGGAAAATAGAGAATCACGTTCTGCTGCTAAGCCTCCATTTCTTGTTTTCTTCTTCTCCTAGTGCGCTTCTTCTTTCTATGGCCTGTGGAAGCCTCTGTCATTTTTTTTCTTTTCGGGAAAGAGATAACTGCTCTATTTATAGTTAAGAGACATAAAGTGATTTGTCTTTTGATGATAATCAGAAAACTCAAAGAACTTAATTAATATACACCAAGATGGTGTTAGGCTTATTATAAAAACATTGAATAGAAGGATGCATAAGCTCCCCAAGAACCAAGCTAATCGTCTATACAGTAAGGAACTTCCTGTTTAGACCAAAAGAACACTAGGAAAAACATAGGATTGTAATTTAACAATGAACGTCCAGTTTCCTCAAACGTTATCATACTCCTCTCTCTCTGTATTTCTAGAAATTTATTGCATGGAGCGGTTCTCCATAACTTTCTCCTATCACATTTAGCTTATCCAATCTCCAACTCACCGGTGCTTTTTTCTCGAGAAAGAACCAATGGATGTTGAAAATGAAGAACATCATGGCTCATAGTTTCGTTGCAAACTTACAATAGGTGATCCACGCGTTCATCATGATTTTTACACGTGAACACCAATTGACCACTATGCATCTCCTTCTTCTTGAGTTGTTAAAATTGGCTTTGAACTCAAGTAAGGTCGTTGAGTTGTTAAAATTGCTCCCGACATTGCATACCATGTAAAAAAGTACCTCTTAGGTACCTCCATGTTCCATGTTGTTGACCAAATGGACATTGTACACCTTCATCAAGTAAGAGGTTATAGATGTCGTTACTTAAAAACATTTTCATTAGGAGCTAAATTTGGATTAGTATATAAAAGATTGGACTAGAACAAGAAACTAAAACAAGGATTAGGTTAGAGTGGTATGAGGATTTGAACTAGTACTAGGAGTAAGCAGAGAAGTAGGATTCCAATTTTATCCACCACCTTAGACCTAGTCCTACTTCTGATCTAACTCCTAATTCAAGTCCTTGTGGTCTAAATCCTAAACCTAATCTAGGAGCAAGTAAAGAATTAGGATCCCAATTTAACCCAAACCATAGCCGTAGTCCTTATTCTAATCTAAGTCCTTGTAGTAACACTGGTCTAAATCCTAAACCTAATATTTGCTCCTAATTCTAGCACCCAGTTCTACTTCTAATTCTGATCCTACTACTATCATGGGAAACTTACTCTATTCATCAGCTTCAGCTTTAGAAAAGCAGCTATTTGGTCTGAAAAGAGCTCCAAACAAACTTGGTTCCAAAAGACAGCATGACCCACAAATAATTACAGGACCAAAGCCGATAAAATCAGCACATTAGATACCATGTGTGACTAAAGATAAAAAAGCCAAATTTTTTGAAGGTGGAATTTCTCTCATTCATTATGTTATAACATAGCCATAGTTTCATTTGGAGGCAGAAGCCAATATGGTAACCAACTACCCATATGGCATTGTTTCATGGAATGTGATTCGCTCAAGAATGAATTGAATCTTCAAATAATGGAGTTTAGGCCTATCTTAACCCCAAAAGCTAACTCATGAAAAGGAGACAAAAGTCCTTTCTCTCAACCAATGTGGAAAATTCGGACACTGCCCCGGCCACTCCTTGCCTTCTTCTTAGGTGCTATGTACTGAAAATTAGAACAACGCATGAGTTAAAAAGGGGCAGTCTTATAATCAAGCTCTATCGCACGATCTAGAATAACAAAGAAGGGTGACATTCCTAAATGCCCAAGTCCGCCTATGCCCCAGGCCTGAACATTGTGGATAACATAACATGGGGGTCCAACATTGAGAAACACAACAACAAAGATGAGTTTGGCTCTAATACCATGTAAAGAAAATGGACCTTGGGCCTAACTCAATCTCAAAAGCTAGCTCAGGAGATGAGAATTGTCCAAAACCAAACAAGGAGAGAACAATGTACTCCTTCAACGAATATCTAACAGAAACAAGAAAAGCACATCTATTTAATGGCTTGTTAATATGAATCGTAATAGCGATTACAACGAAAGTGTGATGCGCCTCATGTATTAACAAATATTGACTAGAGCCATTTCAAACCTTAATTTCATATCATGTATATGAAAGGAAGAAAGAAAAAATATATATCTTTGTTGCTTTAGGAACAAGCTCCGAGTGAGGTGACATACTAAATGTTAAGATATTTGAAAGAATAAAATTTGGTTGGATGTTTGATATATAATCAAGTTACAGTATATCAAATATACTCAAAGGGAAAGTGTAGCATATTCTCTTTAAAAGATATTTGAAAGAGAAGAAAGACCAAAGAACATGAAGACACATACCTCATGCATGCTAAAAAGATCTAAGAATGTATATCAATAATATAGATAAATGAGAAAGTGAGGATGAAGAAGCAAAAGTCTACTTCTATCCTATGAGGCGGGGCCAAGGGCACAATTGTTTAAGGAACAAAATAAAGCCGTAACAGATATAAGAATGTCATAATTATGAGACTGAGGTGGGGTAGTCATTGTGAAGCGGTATGCGTGATTTAAAAAATGATGCAAAACAAAAGTAAAATGCACCTATGCCTAACACCAAAAGATTCTTTAGCATCAAGAGGGGGATTTTTTCATTAACTTATTCTCCACCCCACCACTCCAATCTTCCATTAATGAAATGCGGTAATTCAAACAACCCAACCTCTCCAATCTTCTATCCTGTGAACCATCACGTGGAATGGTACCATTACCTCAATCCTTGAATGTCCAGAATGCAGCAGTTCCGAACTCCCATCAGGGCTAACCACCTCCTAATAACACAGAAATAGTTAGCACTGTCACACCTACTCTGCAACTTCATAATACTACTGGTAAAGAAGTTCTCAGCTATAAACCCCTAGAGACAAAATTCTCAACCCCGTGGAATAGGCAATAAAATACTTTGAGATTCATCAAGTACCTAATACTATGAAGATAAGCTATATCTGGATAGATATAAAAGGGGGATCCACTGATAGTTTGACAGTTCTATGATAGATCATGGTGGGTAATTTGTACGAAGACATCATTTGTGATGTTTATAGAAGGTCTGGAAACACTAGATCTCCGGTAGAGATTGACAAATTCAGTGAGCTCAGTAGGCCAATGACGTGGAAGCTTATCTATAGAAGTTTGAAGAACTGAGGTCTTACACGCTCATTAAAAAGCCCTTCATTCATGTGAATCCAATTCCTATTTCAATTAGACACTAATGCCTAGGATATTTAACTCAATAGTACCTATCAAAAAGATAAGGATATCTAACCCAACAATTCTAACAGATCGTAAGAAGGAGCAAAGTAGCACAAGAATCTATCAATGGGATTAGCAAACTTCTACTCCATAGTCCAGTTACCCTCCTATAACAAATCTGAACACCAAGCACCTAACACAACGCTTCCTCAGCCATACTTCCATACTATCGAGTCTTCCACCTACAAACCTTTTCAACTTTCCGTAACCTAAAATAGAATCGACCAAGAGAATAGAAGTTAGAAGTACTTTATCGATGCAAGCCAAAACCCCTCAATGCTAATGAAGGAGGGGATAGCAGAAAATATTGGGGAGGTTGATGCAGAGGCAATTCAAGAGAGCGTGACACTAAATGGTGTCCATGGGTGTCAAATTCCCCCGTGACCCTCCAAATTGTTCGAACCACTAAGAGGTGGGCATAATTTGTCTAAAGCAGCTCAAATTCAGGGTTATTCTTGGCAATATAGCCATGCAAGTTACTACGGGCAATGATCACATTCACAGGACCTTATGGTCAAAAATTCAGTATATATGTGTCAATAACAGCTTTCTAAAAAACAATACGCACTTGTACAACAAGCTGACCCACTTGAAAATAATGCAAACTATACATCAACTTGGGAGAAGACGTAAAGCTTTAGAACTCACACAGCCCTAGACCCAAATCTAAACAGACCTGATACTGCACATGACTTATACCATCAGCTACAACCGAACTTGTTGAGATATGCAAGGTGAATCTTTCATTTTCAATTTCAGAATGCAAAAGGTTAACCTCAAGTTAGAAATGGATTGATTGACCTCTATTCCCGGTTATGTTAGACTTGTGACGTAACCAAGTGTCATTCTGGGGATGATAAGGGAGAATCAAGGGGTACTAGGTGGGCTCACAGAAGGAAATGGCTGCTTAAACTTTTTCAGCAATGTGTTATTCAAGTGTTCTCCACTGCAACAGCCAACAAGTATATAAGCACTATGCACTGACAGAGTAAAAAATATTTACACAATGAGGTCACTTAATAGGCAACCGCAGATAGCTCTCTACACAAACATAAATTAGTGTAAGATATGTTTACATTGTCAGTGCACATAACTTAAGCTCTTGCAACAAAGCTGAACAAATAGAGAAATTGATCGTAAAATTAGTCAGGAATTTTATCCATTTACACTTGATCCATAGAGTCTGTTTGATTTCTAATTTGTTAGAGTCAGTTAAAACTTAAAAGGAATTTCTAGCTGGAGCATGTCAGCTCTCGGCTCCATAAATTGAGGTTACAATCACACGAACTCCCATTTTATAATTGTTCCCTTATTTCGTTTAGTGGCAATCAGTAATCACAACAATCACGTATCCATATTGTTTCATAAATTCATCCATAAACATTAAATTAATGAGATAAAATAGAATTTACCATTGGTTGGTTCGGTTTCTGCTGATTGAGGAAATTACAACTGAGGAACAACGACATCAGTTATCAACAGTCTACCCCGTGTAAACACCTTAAACTGTATCATTTGCTTCTTAGACTGCTGTAATTTGAAGGGATGGGCGGCTGTAATTCAACAAATCCCCGCGATTTCAACTTTTTTTGGCTTTTTCTCATTTTTCTTCGTTAATGGCATGAGGCCCATTGCCCAATTGTTGGGCGATTCTGTTTTCCATTTTCCTTCTTCCTTTTTTCTTTTTAGCCGCCAACCCCCTCGTTTGGTTTTAGGTATCAAAACTCACTCCAATGTCTGAACCATAGAAATATGACTATGAACGAGGGGTGCTCATAGTTTGGTTTGAATAGATTTTCCCAAACCAATTTTTTTAAATATTAGAACCAAATCAAACTATTTCTCTGACTCGGTTTATGACAGTTTTTCAATTTTTTCGGTTATTTGTCAGTTTTTTCTTAAATATAAGACATAGACTACCAAACACATATTTCGGCGATCACATTTTTAACGTAACACTATCAAATCAATTGCCCTTTGAGAAATCTATTATTTACCAAGATATATTGATGATAACTAAATCAGATGAATAATTTAAGGACTCAATTAAAAATATATTATTTTTAACATGAAATAGATTCTTACACTTAACAAAAGAAAACTACCAATCAAACTAGAATGTAAAGGTAAATAATTGTACTAAAAGTGCAAACGATTAATGTTTACTATAAAATTTTTGAAACTTTGTATAAAACTATACATATATATAGGTGTAATTCTAAATTTAAAATAGCAACTCCTATATTCGGTTTGGTTCGGTTTTTTTTTATTAAAACCAAAACCAAACCATATTTGATAGGTTTTTAAATTTCAAAACCAAAACCAAACCAAAAAGTATCAGTTTTTTAGTCAGTTTGATTTGGTTTTCGGTTTGGTTCGATTTTTTGGATTTTTATGAACACCGCTAAGTCTATGATTTAACTATCAAAATGCACATGAAATATCAGAAAAGTGAAATTCAAGTATTCTACGTACTAGATATATAAAATATCATTAATACTCAAGCATCTTTTTTGTCGTAGGTGGATTAATTATCACAAAATAGCAATCGAATTTCATAATTATATTTAATCCAATATCAGGGTGAAGGGAACTTTTGACTGTGTAAATTGGTTTGAAAATTATTTATCTTTTAGTAACAATTAATAAATAGATACTTTCTTTAAAGGGATATTATTAATCTTGAGCTTTTGTAATTTCTCTCCTCTTTGTTGTCGAAGATTAAGCCCTATAATTTCTTCTACATTTGCACTTTGATTCATCATTATGGCATTTGTTTCAATCTTTTGACCCTTTTTAGTACATTTTAATACAAATAACTGAAACCAAATAGACTACGAATTAACTAAGAGCTCGTTTGGCTTAGCTGATTTAGAGTAGCTGATAAGCATTAGGTGTTGAAAAGTACTTTTAAGTGCTAAAGCTGATTTAAAAAATAAGTAGGTACGTATTTGGATAAAAGTGATGAAATTAATAATAAGCAGCTGAAACTAATTGATTAAAAGTGTTGATAAGCTCTTTTTATGTTAAAATGACTTAAATGACCTTATAACAATTTATACTACTAAAAACGTTATTTTTTCAAAATTTTAGATTCTACATAAATTCTACCTATTTTATTATGTTATTTTAATTATAAAAATGATATGATAATATCTTTTTTATAAATATAATTTATGTTATGATAAGTATACAGTCATAAATTAGAAGGGATGGAGTATAAATTAACAAAAGTTAAGAAGAAAACCTTAAATAATGCACACAGTGTTTGTAGAGAAGAAACAAGCGCTTAATATGTGTTGTTTGTAATAAATAAGATTAAATCATTCTACTATCATAAATATCTTGAGCAGTCAGATCACGAAGTGCCATCAAAATATTATTATCTCCTGATTTTCTATATTTTCTTTGTTTGCAACGTTGACTCTTGTGGATCTTCTAACATCAGGATCAACACGTGGCACATATCTCTCATTCTCAGCTTCTTGGAATGCATTGTCCACCTTACATTTCTTTCTAATGTAATTGTGAATCGCCAGTGTAGCCAATACGATATCTCTTTGAGTGTCAATATGATAAAAAGACATATCTCGCAAAATAGACCACCCTGTTTCAAAAATGCACGTCGCATCTCTTTCTGTGTCCACAAGTTCACAGCATAATTAAAAATATCACTCCCTCCAAGAATACCAGGAATATTTTCTAAAATGTCCATGCACTTCTCAATGGTGGGCTCTGAAGATTTAGATGTGTTGTTGTCAGATATGAAATCAACTAGGGAGCATATCTCCTCTTTTAACGATAATGAATTAGTTTTTGTCCTACGCTTTTTCACTTGACTACTACTGCCACTGCCATCTATTGACTTTCGCTTTCTAAGCGATGGCTCAGGAAACGTAATTGAATCCATATTCTGCAAGTCATGACTTTCGTCGCTTCTTTCATCATTCCATTGTTCTATGTCGTTATCATAAACATCATTTGTTCCATCGTCATCTTGATCTAACCCAACTTCCGACTCTTGTTCTTGATTTGATGCACGTGCTCTCTCTCCGGTGTCAATGATATCAGTAAATAAAGCATCGTAACGAAACCATATTAGTGAACGGTCTTTTTTTGTATTTAGAATTCTCCTGTAAAAAAGAATTTAAAAGTACTCTAAGCAAACAAATGAAACTAATAATTAATAGAGTTATGAAATAATTAATAGAAAAGGGCGAATAATGTACCTTAATTTTTTGCTCCCACCAATCATCGTCTGCAATAATTGTTTTTCTTGCGGGATCCCATCCTAAACCTGTATCACCTCTTATCAACTGCTTAAAAAAAGTCCACTCTACTTTCATGTGATCCCAATGATTTTTCATTTATTTTCTAGTATATTCTAGTCACGTCTTATTATTGAACTCATTTACCATATTCTTCCATCCATCTTTAGTCAAGTAAATGTTTGGCCTATTTCCTTTTCTAACTTCTTGCTCACACAATTCAATGAAATTAATATACGCATATTCGTCCCACTTAGCTTTATGTCGTTCTCCCATAATTGAATGTTAACAATCTGAAGAGATTACAAGATTTAGCTATAAACGTACACATATAACAACACAAGTTTGTTTAATAGTAATGGACTAGCTATTTGACAACCCACTGCCACGAGGTCTAGGACAAAATAAAAGGCGCTTTTTAAATAAGAATATGGAACATATCAGAACTTTTATATATAAAAATTACAAAATAAACTACCTAAAATAGAAGCTATGAGAAAGCAAATCAGCAAAATACGGTGGCCCAACGGAAAGAATTAATTAATAACTCTTCCATTATGCAAAACAGACAAAACAAAGAGAAAGAAACTCACTTGTATTTGCAATTTTATCCAGTATTTCTCTCCACTGAAGGATTATTAATGAATAAACAGTACTACTAGTGATTAACTTAAGTTACCATAAACAAAATAATTTTATCCACAAAAAAAAGTATGTGGATCTGACTGATATTAATTACTACTACTAATCAAGCCATTGCCAAGTTCTTTTTAGGAGGATACTGATGCTATTAAAAAGATAGAATATTGAGCTATATATCCTACATTAATACCAGGCATAACTTAGTCTAGAAGCATATAGGAGAATGAAAACATATCTTGATAGAGATAAACATATTATTATATTACTTTACTAATATATATAAGTGGGAGTTGGGGGGCGGACTCAGCTATATGCATTGTACAAAAAGTTGTGAAGACTGTACTAAATAAGGATACAAATACTGCTCCATCGGTTATACAAAAAGGAATGACAATTGTATTCTCAAATCTCAACTCTTTTAAGGGATGATTTGATAATTAAATTTGACAGGAGTGTTATAAATATATTATATTATGGATGTTCATTTAGTGCTCCGTTGTAAATAATCTTCCTGAAGAAGCTTATCCATATGGGACTCCACCATAAATATGTTTATCTATTTAGTACTCTATTGGAAATAAGCTTCCTGAAGAAGCTTATCACTTCGGTACCCGGTTATGGATAAACATTATCCTAGGTAGAAAATTATCCATACCGGGTATAATAAGCTTATCCAATAAGTACTCTGTTATGGATAAACATTGCTCTCAGTAGAAGATTATCCATATCTGGTATAGTAGCAGCTTACACAGCAGCTTGCAGTAGCAGCTTGCACAGCAACTTGCAGTAGCAGCTTACACAGCAGCTTGTAATAGCAGCTTACTGATCACGCCTAACTATGCCTTATAAAAAGGACAATGCGGACGTTGCAAATATAACCTGAGTATTCTACCCAGAGTCGAATCCACTGAGAATTAACCTATCAATCACAATCTTTAGAACTACTAAACTCTTGAGAACCAACTTCCCCAGGCGTTTGAATCACCGTTGATGGTTTCTTTACTAACTAAGATTGCAAGTAAATAACAAGTTGTAAACTAAAATGCTAAGGTTGTAAACAATAATGAGAAAATGCTAAGGTAATGACTTCCCCTAATGATGGAATCCCTTCTGTTTATGCTTCATACAAATTTACCAACACACCTCTATCAATCATGAACGCTCATCTTACCGCAAATCTCTCCCGAGTAATCACAGTAATATACTCAATGCACTCTCCCGAGATACACTAGCTAGCTTTAATTAACGCAGTTCACTTTAGATTGCACTCAAGGCTTCGTTATCCCTAAGCCCGCCTTTAAACCCGTAGTTATAGATCCCTCTTATACTTTGGGAGTAGTGTTGTTCAACAATAACCTAAATATGCACTCTCTCCCGAGTTATGCACACTAAATAGGCACAGCTAATTGAGGATCCTGTCAATTAACTACAACAAGAACATAGTTGAACAAATAAAGATTGAAACTAGCAATTTGTATTCACATAAACAAGAAGTTCATCCCCCAATAGGTTCCATCAAAACCTTAGACAAAGGATTTAGCTACTCATAACTATGGGTAAACAAACTAAGATAAGATTCATCATAAACTAGCAATAAAAATCAAAGAAAAGAAGAAAGATGTTTTGGGTGATCTCTCACAATTGTTCTTCTTGCCAAAAATACTCTCCAAAACAATACATGCCTCTCTTGGGCGGAGTCTAGTGTTTAAAATAGGGTTTTGGGCTAAAAATCCTATTTTTTTGCACTTTAGTCCCTGAAATTTCCGCCTCTTGCCGCGGTTCTACCGCGGTCGCGGTTAAACCGCGGCCAAACATGACCTCTGATTCTTCAATTGTCTGTGTCTGCACTCTGCCGCGGTT